CAGAGAAGGTGTTATGGGACAGCCCCCCAGGAGAAGGGAGAAGGCAGTTCCCCCCTCCGTTCTTGTCATGCTCATGAGAAAGAATTCAAAGGAATGACTTAGCAAGCGAATCTATCAAAGTATATCTGGCCTAAAGCACAGACAGGCCCTCAGCTAATCTGAGGAGTGAGCCTAGTGGGAGTGCAGGGCTTTATACTTTTCTGTCTATAGGTTTTTAAATCCCACTATTATCTTGATACAGACTAGATCTCAAGGTTGCCCTTTCATTTTGTTTATGGCTTTCCCAGAATTTATGAGAAACACTTGGTGGATTTTATCTTGACAAGCCCCAAGGCTGCTGGCTTCTGGGTTTAAGGAGTGAGATAAAAACTCCCCCTTCCTGCCCCTTCCCCCCAATGGCTGACTTCTGTTTAGTGAGTGAGATAAACTCTCCCTTCTTTCCTTCCTCCTCCCCGTTCTGCCTTAGCAGTTCCAGGGTGACTTAAGCTGTGTATTCTCTGGGTAGGGAGGAGAGATAACCATTTGCTCTCAAGTGTCCTTGGTTGGGGAAGATAAGGTCTTACGATTCACAAGCTGGCTGAAGCTGCCCAACTGTTTGGCCCTGTTTGAGTTGCTTGTCTCCGTTTCCCCATTCCACTGGCCCAGGAATTTTCCTAGATTTTTACTACCCTGGTTACAATTGGCTTCATTTTTCTCAAGTTCCACGTGGTGACCTTTGGAAACTCCAGGCCTATAGCCTCTTGCATTTGGGTTCAGCGGAAGAAAGTTTTATCAAATTTTTTAAAAATATGTGTTTTATTGCCCTGGCCGGTTTGGCTCAGCGGTTAGAGCGTCGGCCTGTGGTCCTGAGAGACCCGGGTTCGATTCCCGCTAAGGGCACGTACCTCGGTTGCAGTTTGTCCCCGGCCCTGGTCGGTTGTGTGGGTGGCAGCCACTTGATGTGTTCCTTTCACGTCGATGTTTCTCTCTCTCTCTCTCTCTCTCTCTCTGTTCCTCTCTCTCCCTCCCACTCTACCTGAACAAAAAAAAAATGGAAAAATGTCCTCTGGTGAGGATAAAAAAAAATTAAAAAAAAATATGTGTTTTACTAATTTTTTTTAGAGAGAGAGGAAGGGAGAAAGAGATCGAAACATTGATGGAAGAGAAACATCCATCAGCTGCCTCCTGCACGCCCCCTTCTGAGGATCGTGCCCCCAGCCCGGGCCTGTGCCCTGACCGGGAAGTAAACCAGGACCTCTCATCCATGGGATGACGCTCAACCACTAAGCTACACCGGCAGGGCCAGCAGAAGAAATTTAAAAATGATTTCTTCTCAGCTTTTATAGACGTCTTAAAATTCACTCCGATTGGACCAGCTGGGGTCCTGTGGTCGCTCCTGAACTGACCTTCAGCTCAAGGGACTTGCTGTGATTGGGCAGGAAAAGGTCCCATGTTCAGTCCCTCTCCCGCTGCCGTCTGGGCTTCAGCCACCAAGTCCATCCACGCTCACCCCCCCTTTCCTCCAGGAGCAGCACCCCGACCCAGACGCAGAGGCCGGCCCCCGTGCCCCCTGCCCCAGGCAGCATCTCTGGCCTCTCGCTGGAGTTCGCTCTGCCGGGCTCTGAACTTCTGAACATCGGAATCTCCCAGTACATCGTCTGTCGTATCTGCCCCTTGGGTCAACGTGACTGTGAGACCAGCCACGTTGGGGCGCGAGCTGTGGAGGGCCGTTGGCAGAGCTGCGTGGCATCCCCCGTGTGTCACAGTGGTGTCCGTTGTTTGTGGCTACTTGGGCCATTTCCGGTTTGGGGCTGTTCTGCTCAGAGCGCTCTAGCCGGGTCTTCTGGTGCCCGGCCTGCAGGGTGTGTGCCCGGCCTGCAGGGTGTGAGTAGAGCAATGGAGATTTGTTCTTTCATTTTTAAATTAGATTCCAGTGTTTAAACATTGGCAGCTGTTAAACTCTGACTTCTCCCCTAAAGTGGGCAGGTGTGGCCACGTCGGGCTGGCCGAGTGGCCCTGCTGACAAAGAGACCCTATCCTGCCCCCCGGGCCCTCCCGCAGCCTTGCCCTCGACGGCCGGGGACCTGGGCCGTGACCCCTTCTCTGCCTTAGTTTTCCCACCTGGGAAATGGAGATGGAACATGGCACTTAGCTAACGGGTTTTTTCTTTTTTGAGGAAGGCGAGGTGTTCAATATGCTTATATTTAAAAATGTTTCTACTGTCAATCATGAGTGTTTAGTTCAAATAACTATCTTATGTTAAGAGCAGACCAGGATTCTGCAAAGGTGAAGACAAGGACATGCGTGGAAAAATAAAGGGACTGACAAACCACTTTTAACAGCATTTTAAAAACAACGTACTTTTGTTTTTTTTACTATTAAAATCCTAGATCAAATGTATGTGCTGTTTTCACCCTGCTTTGTTAATTTTTTAATTTATTTTTATTTTCATGTCCTCACCTGAGGATGTTTTTCCACTTATCATCAGATAGAGTGGGAGGGAGGGAGAGAAACATCACATCGACTGGTTGCCTCTCACATGACCTAGCCAGGGCCAGGGATGAACCAAGACCAAGGTACATGCCCTTGACCAGAGCCTAACCCATGACTCATTAGTCTGCGGGCCGATGTTCTAACCACTGAGCAACCAGCCAGGGTTGATGATTTATTTATTTATTTATTTATTTATTCTTTTCTCTCGCCTGAGGACATATTTGCATTTATCTTCAGACGGAGTGGGAGAGAGAAAGGAGGAAGAGAGAGAGAGAGACATCAATGTGAGAGAGACACATCGAGTGGTTGCCACCCACATGGCCCCAACCAGGGCGGGGGACAAACTACAACCGAGGTACGTGCCCTTAGTGGTTACTGAACCCAGGACTCTGTGGTCCATGGGCTGACACTCTAACCACTGAACCAAACCGGCCAGGACTGATAATTAAAAAAAAACAATACTACCACTGTTAAGATAAATTCACAGACCACACAATTCGCCATGGAGAGTGTGCGGCTCATTGGTTTTGGTGTGTTCACATTTGTGTGCGGCCGTCACCCCAGTCAATTCTAGGACATTATCCTCACCTTCAGAGGACACGTGCTATCTCTGTCAGCTCCCCTCCCCCAGCCCCTGGCAGCCACGCACTACTTCCTGTCCTTCTGGCTTTGCCTGTCTGGACAGTTCCTGTGAGTGGAGTCAGGCAGTAGGTATCAGCCGCTGCTTGCACTTGTAGGTACTGTTTTCGGGGTTTGGCCACATTGTAGCAGGTATCAATACTTCGTTTCTTTTTACAGACATACACTGTTTCCTTGTGTGGATACAAATGGATATCTTTAGGTTTTCGCAGGTGTTGAAGCTGCCTCCAGCTCAGGATAACTCCTGGCTGTAATTATGGCCAGCTGTGCAGCCATGAGCAGTTCTAAAAGATCTTTGCTGGCCTCAGTTACCTGCTCCATAAAATGGGTACAGGAGTGAGTGTGCGTATCTCTGAGGGAGGTGGCGAGGCAGGCGTGATGGTGTCCTGGACGCCCGTGGGCCCTGCAGATGCCGTGCCCACCCCCACTGCCCTCCACGCTGCTCTCCTGGACACAGGCTGGCTGGTGAGAGGGAGCCCTGTCCAGGGATATGTGTGAAATGCCCTGGGTTCCATGTGCTTCTTCCTCAGGGTGTCGGAAGGACTCCATGCCCAGACCCCCCCGAGGTGGCATCACGACAGTGTGCCTGGGCCACCCTGCCCACCCGCAGAGCATGTCCCGGCTGGACTTGGAGGAGCTGGCCGAAATAGGTACAAGTATGTTCCTATTCCCCGGCACCTCCGTGGCCTCTCCTCTTATGAAGACAGCCATGTTGGGGCCAGGGCCCGGCCTTCTCAGTGCGACCTCACCTTACTCACGTCCTCTCTGAAGGCACTGTTTCCAGTAAGGCCGCACGGAGTTCCGGGGAGACAGGAATTTAGGAGGGACACTGTTCAACCCGGTGCATCTGGGGACCGGACTCTACCCTGACTTGCAATTTGAGGTCCCCCTTGTTGTCTAGCTGGAAAGATTTCTGAAAGACCCTCCCCTGGCGCATGAAGGAGCCGCCCCTTCTAAAATTCAACCATGGAAGGCGGCACGTTCTGCCCGTCTCATAGCGCAGGGCCAGTGTCTGCCCTCAGCCCCGCCGCGGCTTCCGCCAGCCGCCAGTGTGGCATCTTTCGAGAAGGGCCCGGGTCAGGATTCGGAGCTGGGAGACCGAGTTCGAGTCCACACCCTGCTGCCAGTTAGCAGTGGGACCTTAGGAAGTCGTTCCCCTTCCCTGAGCCTCAGTTTCCACTCCTGTCAGAATAGAGGCCAATATCCAGCCCTCAGGTCTCATTTTTCTTATTCCACGGTGCTCACACCGAGCAGGTGCACAGTGGGTGCACAGGACAGGAGGGTATACAGTGGGTACACACTGAGTGGGTGCATAGTGGATGCACAGCAAAGGTGGGTGCATAGTGGGTGCACAGGATGGGCGGGTATACAGTGGGTACACACTGGGTGTGTAGTGGGTGCACAGCACAGTTTAGTGCACAGAGGGTGCATAGAACGGGCAGGTATACAGTGGGTACACACTGAGTGGGTGCATAGTGGGTGCACAGTGGAGGTGGGTGCATAGTGGGTACACAGGACAGGTGTGTATACAGTGGGTACACACTGAGTGGGTGCATAGTGGGTGCACAGTGGAGGTGGGTACATAGTGGGTGCACAGGACGGGCGGGTATACAGTGGGTACACACTGAGTGGGTGCATAGTGGATGCACAGCAGAGGTGGGTGCATAGTGGGTGCACAGGATGGGCGGGTATACAGTGGGTACACACTGGGTGTGTAGTGGGTGCACAGCAGAGGTTAGCGCACAGAGGGTGCACAGGACGGGCGGGTATACAGTGGGTACACACTGAGTGGGTGCACAGATGAGGCATGGTGACTGTCCTGTAGAAAGATGTCCTCCTGCTTCCTGGAGAACACAGCTGACTTCCTCTGGTCCTCCTTGTCCGCGTAGAGCTGCAGAGAGATGAGGAGGAGGCAGCCATTCTGGGCACAGTGAGAAGACCCTCCGTGGAGCCCACAGCCAGCCAGGGCCCAGCACTGAGCATGAATCACCCCTTCTACGATGTGGCCAGACATGGCATCCTGCAGGTGGCAGGTGAGTTTCAGCTGGGTGGTCCCAGGGACACGGACAGTGCCAGCCTTCCTGTGGGCCCTGTGGCATGGGGTGGGCTTACTGGGGCTGCTTCCCTCCCGCTTGGCTGTGCCCACGGAATGAAAACCACAACAGGAACTGACGTTCCTGCCAGCGTTTTGGAGAAGCAGATGACACGCCTGTCCGGGTCCAGGCCGGGTGTCCTGAGAAGCCCCGGCTGTGTCCTGCCATTCTTTGGCAAGCAGAGACCGAGATGACATGGATTCATTAACCAAAGACACAGCCACGCCACGTGGCAATGAAAGCAACAAACATCTGCAAAAACTCAAGACCCGCCCCACGCCCCGTGGGCGCTCAGCGGGAGGCAGTGGTCACTTTAATTAGGCCTGGGGGGGGGACGGGGGGGCGTGCGGGCGATAGTCCGGGCCCTCCAGAGAAGCAGGACCCATGGGGTACAGAGAGACGTCGGCGAGAGGAGGTTTCCTGCAGGAATTGCGCACACGCTGTGGAGGCTCAGAAGCCCCGTCTGTGAGCCAGGGCCCCGCGAGAGCTGACGGTCCCGGTCGGAGGCCAGGGGCCCGAGAACCAGCAGCGCTGAGGCCACAAGGATCCTCGGGCCGGAGAAGACGGCTGTCCAGCTCGTGCAGAGCACGCCCGCCCTTCCTCCACCCTTCCCTGTGCGGACCCTCACCGGGTGGGTCGGCCGTCTGCGCTGGGGAGGGTGGTCATTACTCGGCCTCCGATCAGATGCCGGTCTGTTCTGCACACACCCTCACACACGCCCAGGAGTAATGCTTTACCGGCGGTCGCGGGGTCCCTGAGCCCAGTGATGCTGACCCCAGCGCACCCCCTTCTCTGTCCCTCCAGTTAGCTCTTGTCCCCAAGGAGCTGGACTCTTGATGAGCAGGGGTCTCAATAGCCAGAGTCCTCAGAGATGCGAAAAGCAAACATTTTGGTGTCTGCCGAGCACAGGAGAACGCCGAAGTGATGGGCTTTTTTTTTTTTTTAATTAATTTTTGTTACAGATGTTTCTCCTTTTTTCCCCATTGACACCCTTCTCCCCAGCCCCCCACCCCATCCCCGGCTTTGTTATTCATGTCCATCGGTTATGCATACATGCATATAAGTTCTGTGGTTTGCCCCCCACTTCTGAGGATTGTCAGCCTGTACCCCACTTCCACGTCTCTGGATCTACCCTGTTCCTCAGACTGTTATGTTCATTATATTCCACAAATAAGAGAGATCATGTGATATTTGTCTTTCTCTGCTTGGCTTGTTTTGCTTAGGATAATACTCTCCAGGTCCCTCCATGTCATCTCAAAGGATAAGAGATCTTTCTTTCTTACAGCTGCGTAGTACTCCATTGTGTACATGTACCACTGCTTTTTTATCCATTCGTCTACTGATGGACACTGAGCTGTTTCCAGATCTTAGCTATTGTAAATAGTGCTGCTATGAACATGGGGTACATATATTCTTTCTGATACGTGTTTCAGGCTTCTTAGGGTATGATCCTAGAGGTGGGATCACTGGGTCAATTGGTAACTCAATTTTTAATTTTTTGAGGTAACACCATAGTGTTTTCCATAGTGTCTGCACCAGTCTGCATTCCCACCAGCAGTGTATTAGAGTCCCCTTTTCTCCACACCCTCGCCAACACTTGTTGTTTGATGATTTGTTGATGGCGGCCATTCTGACAGGTGTGAAGAGATACCTCATTGTTTTAATTTGCATCTCTCTGATGATTAGTGATGTTGAGCATTTCTTCATATGTCTCTTAGCCATTTGTATGTCCTGCTTAGAGAGGTGTCTTTTCAGCTCCTCTGCCCATTTTTTAATTGGTTTCTTTGTCTTCCTTTTTGTTGAGTTGTATGAGCACTCTATATACATTGGAAATTAACCCCTTATCTGATGTATCATTGGCAGTGATGTTCTCCCATAGAGTGGGTTCCCTTTCCATTTTGATGGTTGTTTCTTTTGCTGTGCAGATGCTTTTTAGTTTGATGTAGTCCCATGAGTTCATTTTTTCCTTTGTTTCTGTTGCCTTAGATGATGTATCAGTGAAAATTCTATGATGTCCGAAAACTTTGTTGCCTACAGATGACGGGCTTTGACAGGTGGCCAACCACAACAAGCCCCAGATGTCCTCTTAGAAAACCTTTAGGGTTTGGGTGAAAGGGATGGATGCTGGACTGCAGGTGGGGGACATGGACCCACAGATCCCGTCCCACCAAAGGAAGGCAGGAAATATACAGAGTGTCCCAAATATACAGGGTGGCAATAGATTCTGTTACATTTTGAAAATGAAATGTATTTTACTAAACACTGGCTTTATGATTATTTAAAGTGTGTATACATGTTTTGGGGGGACAGCCTGTAGTTACTTTTCATAAGAAATCAAAACTATGTTCTTCGCCCTGGCCAGTTTGGCTCAGCGGTTGGAATGTTGGCCCGCAGACCAGAGAGACCTGGGTTTGGTTTCCACTAAGGGCACGTACTTCAGTTGCAGTTTGTACCCGGCCCTGTTGGGGTCATGTGGGTGGCAACCACTCAATGTGTCTGTCTCTCTCACATCAATGCTTCTCTCTCTCTCTTCCTCCCTCTCTCCCTCCTGCTCTATCTGTACATGCAAAAATGTCCTTGGGTGAGGATAAAATATATATATATATATATATATATTCTTCATATTAACCTGCAATGCTTTATTATTCTTTTTTTTTCTTTATTGATTTTAGAGAGGAATGGAGAGAGAGATAGAAACATTGGTGAGACAGAAATTGATCAGCTGCCTCCTGTACGCCCCCCACTGGGGATCTGGCCCAGAACCTGCGCCTGTGCCCTGACCAGGAATACAAACCGGCGACCTCTTGGCGCATGGATAGATGCTCGACCACTGAGCCACACCGGCTGGGTGGTTTATTATTCTTCTAATAGGAATGAATAGTATTTAAAATGTTTCTGTTTTAGGTTTCTGAGATGGTAACTTTCTATAGAAACAGCTGCTTGGGTTTGGAAGAGCTGTTTGAGGTCCCGGGTCGTGTTTCAGAGCACTGAGGGGTTCTGGGCCCAAGAGTTTCGGTTCGGGCGGGGTGGACCGCGTGTCCAGACTTTCTCTGTCCCCTGCTGCAGAACCGAGTCTGCTCCCTCGGTGGCTGTTCGGACCGGACGTTCCTCCCTTTGGTTCTGTCCATCTCGCCCGTGCTGTAACGTTGTAACATTGTAACATTCGTTTCCAGGGTCACATGCTCTTAGGAGTGTTGTCTTTTTTGTTGTTAATCCTCACCGGAGGATATCTTTTCCATTGACTTTTAGATAGAGAGGGAGGGAGGGAGGGAGGGAGGGAGGGAGGGAGGTGGGGGAGAGTGAGAAAGGGATCAATTGGTTGCCTCCTACAATCATCCCAACTGGAGCCGGGGATTGAACTTGCAACCCAGATACGATCCCTTGACGGGGGGTCAAACCCGAGACTGTTGGGAGCGCAGGCCGTCACTGACCGCTGAGCCACACCAGCCAGGGAGTGTCGTGTTCTGGTGTGTTGACCATGGTGCCCTCACGAAGTGGCCTTCGCTGTGTGAGGTCGTGCTCCGTTAGCTCCTCCTCGCCGGCTTTGCCTGGTGCCGGTATGGTCCCGACAGCACCCCAGCTTCTTCCTGGGCCTCGGTGCCGAGGGCCTGTTCCTCCAGCTGTTCCATGCAGAGCGCGTCCCTTACCTGGGAGTGTTTTCTGTCGTCCACGCTACCTACTTAGTGCCTTGCCGCGGGCTCTCAGTCGCGGTGGCCCTGGGGACGTGGCACAGGACCATGACGGGGTTTGTGAGTGACTTTGCTGGACGTGGAGGATGCTGATGGCGGCCACCTGCCGGAGGACTAGGGCAGCCCAGCTGGGAAGGGGCCCTTGCAGGATGGGGTGGGGTTTCCAGGGGCGCAGAGGAAAGGCTGAAGTAGGAGGCGGGGTCCCTGGGAAGTAACTTGGCTGGTTCTCTGATGACTCTCGTCTCCACCCGCTGGGCTGGGGAGCCTGCGGGGCCTGGCGGTTCCTTCCTGGTGGGAGGCTGCGGGGGTCCCCAGGGTTCCTTGTGGCTCCTTCAGCGCCATGAAGGGACTGTGGGCGGCCTGGGGGTTGAGCTCAGGCTCTCCCTAAAGACGCGGTAGGAAATCGTCACAGTTGAACGTGAGCCCGTGTCCTCACGCTGTGATTGCCTGGGGATGGCGGCCCCGGCGGCGGTCCTGGGGCCCCGGGTAGTTCTCTTGTTGTGGAGTAGGGTTCTCACCCACTTATTTTACTTATTTATTTTTTAAATCCTCATCCAAGGATACTTTTCTTTTTTTTTTTATCCTCACCCGAGGACATTTTTCCATTTTTTGTTCAGATAGAGCGGGAGGGAGAGAGAGGAAGAGAGAGAGAGAGAAACATCGATGTGAAGGGACACATCGAGTGGTTGCCACCCGCATGACTCAACCAGGGCCGGGGACAAACTGCAACTGAGGTACGTGCCCTATACTTTCTATTATCATCAGCTAGAGTGGGGGGGAGAAACATCATGTGAGAGACACAGCGACTGGCTGTCACCTGCACGACTCCAACCAGGGCCGGGAACAAACTGCAACCGAGGTACGTGCCCTTGACCGGAGTCGAACCTGTGACTCTGGTCTGAGGGCCGATGCTCTAACCGCTGAGCCACATCGTCCAGGGCTAGTGGTTGAGTCCTGTGTGTGCCCTGACTAGGAATTGAACCCGCAACCTTGGTATCAGGACGAACCCTCTCAACCAGCTGAGCCAGCAGCCAGGTGCTCAGGGCTCAGGTAGTGCTCTGGGCTCAGGTAGTGCTCTGTACACGAGCTGATGTGAGTATTTCCAGAAGCGCTCATCTCGAAGCTCCGGTCTGGGGCCGGCCGCGAGCTCAGAGGGGCGAAGGCGGAGAGCGGCGCGGGCAGAGGAAGGTTCTGGACCCCAGGATCGGGAGGGGGCAATCTCAGGGACGAGAAGAGAAAAAGAGGGACACA